CCTTTAGCACACACCCAGAGCTCATGCCTTTGGATTTAAAGAAAGATGCTTCAATTGTGCTGCTTCTGCACTATTTGTGCCTTTGACGAAAAAAATTGCATAGTGCTGGAGTTACCATATTTTTAGACTCAAAAAGTTTTGAAATCATAGATTTATTCATAAAATAGAAATGCGAATGCCTGCCTCACTTTTCAGCTCTTTTGCCTGCAAGTATTAGTTTAGTCCTTAATTGTTAGATGGTTCTTGCTTCTCATTCAAAATGATAACCCCAGTGTTGTTGTTCTGCTATTAGAAAAAGCTGACGGAAAAGATACATTCAGTAGTGATTTATCTCATAAGTTTCCTAGTATTTATTATTTTTCCTGCCACTTATTTTTAGCTTGTGGTCTTTGGCATATTGGCTAGGCAAAGCATCACATATTCATGCAAATATATTGCTACATATATACTAGAAAATGCAAGAAACCCCTCTGTACAAGAAGACTGCACATTATGTACATGTAATTAGTGCATGCAGAAGTTTAAACTGACTTCTGGATGTTCTGGTACCCTGCATCAAATAGGAATGTGAGATAAATATCTCCTTCATTATCCCTCCCACCCCTTTGCTGAGTCTCAGGGTTGTTTCATTGTCCAAGTTCTTCTGACCTTCACTTTGTCAGAAAGTCCCACTTTCCAATTTCCTGCTACTTCCTCTTGATCAATATGAGAAGGAAAGGAGCATCAGCTTGAGGGAGAAAAGAGAGCTCAACAGGCTTGCTGTATTTCTTTGGAAAGGCAATAAAATGTCATATCAGTATATGTATAATGTATAATACATACTCTCACATGATCTGTCAGTTAGGTAAAGACTTATTTTGCAGAATAACAGGGTTGCTGGCAATATGGAGTAGAAGCAACATTTGTAAAAATGCCACACCTTATATGTAAGCACCTGCAAAGTCTGAGGAAATTCTGTGATGCAGTTTCCACTTTGTTAACTATGCGATGGTTCCTTACTCTTTATTGTTGCACAGTTTTATATTGTGAAATAATGGTTTTTATTTTTTTTAATTATTTATCCTTTAAATTGAAGATACAGTTTTGGCTTGTTTGTAAACATTTTGATACTGAATTTTGTCTTTGATAGATAATGGCCTTAGGTTCTAAAATTGCTTAGACATCACGATGAAAGGCACTTTTGATATAAGATTTTTAAGATAATTCAGTCTGCAATTCTTTCCAGAGGATGAACTGGTATTTCCTGTTTCACGACACTGTGCATTGGAAATTGCAGCTAAACAGAGAGATTTATGTTGCTATTAGGTGTTTTAGTTTTTTGTGACTTAATGGTATTTTTTTTCTTTAAAAAGGCACTTTATTGTTTCCTCTTCCATTTTCCATAAATGTGTGTAGAGGTACTGAAAAGAGAAAAATAATCAAGGACTCTAGGACAGGATTGGTTTGGTGGTTTTTGGTTTGTTTTTTTTTCTTTTTTTGGGGGGGGTTTGAATCGATATTGATAGCTTCTTCTTTATCTTATCTCCTTTTATTTAAATAACTTCTGAAAAATTATGTAAGGGTATATTCTTTGCTTAAGAGCAAATACTCCAATTTTCAAAATAGTAAAAGAATGGCATGCAGAGAAAAATTCTTCCCCTCGTTTGAGCTCTAAACTTAACTGCCATCAGGACAGAGTGTAGCCAAAAATAAATATGGATTTCTCTTTTTTTTCTAAAAGCTTATATATTTAGCCAAATTATCTTTAAATGTAAGGTGCTTAAATGTCTCTCTCTATCATGATAATCATCCTCGTGTTTTCACCATATTTTATGTAAAGAAGAAAATGGGGGGGATTTTTAACAATACTTTTCATGAAATTTGCAAATTTTGGGCTGTCCTTATACAGCATTCATATGTGTGGGTTTTATAGTGCCAGAGAGAGCCTAGGCATCCAGAGGAAGTCACACCTGTATCCCAGGACTATCAAACAAAACCTGCTGGTAAACTGAGAAAAAACAATAATAATGGTAAAAATGCATAAACTGCATAAATTAAGCTATATTGTAAGAGAATAAATTTGGTGCTTGTATATTCATTGGACACACCAAGTTTTTCCATTTTCCCATGTCATTTGGGAGATCAAATTATCACACTGGAGGTATTAATGTAATGAGAAAGGAGATCATAGTCTGTCGATCATCATATGTAACTGCAGCACTTTGAATGTACCGCAGATATTTCTGATTCACATTGTTTTTGCAATTAGTGACACAAATGAGGACACACAAGTGTAATGTCTGCAGGAGAGATGCTGCACTGTTTTTGAATTATGGCGGATGCAGAAGAGATGTGTGGGGAAGTGGCATTTGGACCTTTTTCTTTAATTATCAAACCACACCAAAGAAAAAGCCACATTCCTATTCTGACTGGTGCCTCACCAAGAACCTCGTCCAGCCCTGGATCAGCTGAGAAGGTCACAGTTTGGTTGGATTGCTCCAGAAACCTCTCTTCTCTTTTTTCAATTTTATGTGCCTAGTGTGATTAATATTCCAGGCAGCATTTCATAAAATCTTTTTTGCTGCTTTTTTGTGCCTCGTGAATGACATGTCTTCGCTTCAAGGATGATTTTTGTATTGGCAAGATGAGGATGTGACACACCAAGTATCACCTTCAGGAACAAGCAATATAAGTACTATAATGAGACAGGTCTTTGCAGAGCCTGTAATTGGTGACAAGGCATGGCAGCTTCGCATCAGACAGAGATGTACAACACAGGGCTGATTAATGAGGCAACATCACAGTCGAGAGCCTTCCAGTCGCTCCTAGACAGAAAAATGTCATATATTCTGCATGTTGTTTCTATGCCCAGAGTCTCCAATTCACATCACAAAACCTTTAGGTGGGTCAATTCAAGCTAATCCAGGAGGGAATTCTGCTTCCTCTTAGATGGATTATCAGTGCTGCGGCCTGCAATTCATCACTGTTGATCCCAGCTCTCATGGATGGCAGCAACAATCATCTCAGCTTGCAGATCTGCTCACTTTAATTGGGTTAGTTTAGTAACTCTCCTAGTATTGAAGTCAGCTTGGAAAGAGATATCATATTTTCAGTTATGAGGACCTAGAAACTGACCATAGTAAGATTTGATTGTAGATCAAGAAATAGGATTTTCATCATATTAAGAAATCTTCATAGAAATATATTTGGAACAAACAATGAAATAAAAAAAAAAAAAAAGAGAAAGAATTCTGCAAAGATACCTGCAAAGCAATAAGGAATCTGATTGAAAATTTGTTGCATAAGTTGTTTTCTTTGAGAGAAGAACTTTGATAATTTGTTATTCTTATTATTTTTATTCTTGGATTTGTGTATTCTGAATTAGTCTTTTGTGTGTGTTTTAGAATTTCTTGGAAAACCACATTCCCTTTTGAAACAAAAAATTATGTTCAAATTAGTAGAATTTTGGTTAGACAGATTTTTCCTATTTTTAAATAATCATAGATAATTGTTTAAAATAATACATTTGGTGGTTTCTTCCCCCTCACTACACCAACCCCCCCCTCCCCAGTCCCCTACTGTGGGACATTTTAAGGAGAAGGATTTCATGTAAAGAGTGGGACTGTAAGATATATTGCATTTCATTTCTAGAAACCATCCTCCACACATGCCACCTTGCATGAACAAAGTTCTGTGGAAACTATTACTCTCATGAGGTTTTATAAGAAAATCCAATTCCAAAACACCTTTTGGTGTCAGTCATGAAAATCTTTGTCAAACATCTGTCCCTGTCTCCGCATAAACATTCCCAGAACGTTTTGCAAGTATATCTGCAGAGTGTTATCAATTATATTTAAAATGTAAGTTTTGATTAAAAGCATTGGGGTTTTACTTTTGTTTTGGTTTGTTCTCAAGAAATTGTGTTGTTGAAGTGACAACACTATGCCACAAGCACAAGAGAAGCCAGCATGCCACTGCATTGAATTGCTCACAGTGACTAAATAACACTGTAGGCTTAGTCTACAAATTTCTCTTCCTTTGTTGACACTGGCCTTTCAGCCAGTGAGTCTAAAGAATTACAGCTGAAGTCAATGTTATTTGTTTGTGGACAGTTTAATGGGCAAAGTATTGAATATCTTACTCTTTCACACAGATTCACTCAAAGAAGTAGTAGATTTGCCTTATCTTCCAGCATAACTTTCGCTTATCACTTTCCCTTGAGGCTAACACATTCAGATTTAATACTTTTTTGTGTGTGTGTTTTGATGATTAACATAATGACAAGGGAACTCACAGTATTTTAAGAGGCCAGATGTGGAAATGCATGTGGTAAATCCACTTAAAAAAAGTCTCTTAGTTCTACTGGAAGCCAACTTTTTACTTTTTCTGTTAGCATTTTAGTAGTTTGCTTTATTCTTCTGGTCATGACTACATTCTTGTTGTCTAGCTTCTCATGCCTTTAGCTCAAGCATGATCCTTATGCCTTGTAAGCTGTTTTCATTATCCAACCAATGGCAGATCTGCAAAGTATAGTGACCTAATGTTGCTTGGAATTTCTCATAAAATTTTAGAACAAAATCTTGTTATTTTAGTTTGAGGTTTTCATTAAATAATTTCTCAGTATTTTAATAAATTCTGAAAGAATAGCATCGTTACCCTTTACAGAGAAGAGGTAATCTCTTTTCATGTATCAAAAGCAGGAGAAATCTATCCATTGACCGTAAAGGACCTTGACTAAAGAGGTGTCAGGGCTGAACCCACAATGAATAACTTTAAAGGAACTGTCAAAGGATTTGTAGTTGATTTGTGAGCATTTCTTGAAGAAAGGGGTTATGTGTAGTCTTTTAAATGTAGTTATCACTTTTATCTATTTGAGCAAATATAGGACAATACTCAGGTACAAACAAGAACATTGGGAACCACAACCACACCATGTCATAACAAACACTGTAACCAATGCCTTCAAAATTTTAGGCACTTATAACACCTTGGTTCTTAGGTTTTGGTTTTTTTTATTATTCCTGGAGGACTTTGAAGGTTGAGTTCTTCTTCATCATGTCATATGGATATTGTATGAACAAAATGCAGATGCATTCCGACCCTACAAAGAAATGAGAACATGGCTGTCAAGCCAACTGGTGTGAAGACCTGCATATTATGTCACAGGACAGGAAAGCGTCACTGAGCCCTTAAGACAGAACCAGAAGGAAGAACTGCTTCAGGAAAAATGATCCAACTGTTCCTCAGACTGACCTGATAAACAGTGCTGGAAAAAAAACCCCAAACTGTAAAGCTTTGAGCTGAAATAATTGTGGGTTTGCTGGTGGGCTCTAAATTGGTCTATTCTGATATTTTACCATTATGTCAAAAAGGTGCTGTGATGAGAATTTTAAGTTCTTGACAGCCCAAACTGGAACTTGATTATGAACAGCAATCTTAACGTTGTTAAATAAGGAACACGTTTATGAATGTGCTTATAACTGGGCAGTTTCCATAATAAAATCACTGGCCAGGCTTTCAAAACACTTCAGCCTCCATTGTATGCCCAACAGGCTTAGCTGGTTTTTGAAAATCTGGCAGCCACTGCTGCTCTCCACTATTTCTGAAAATCAGTGACATGATTAAACAGCCGTCCGTCTTTTTCCTTTCTCTTCAGTTGTAATTTGGATGGGATTTTTCTATTGTCTTGTTCCGTTCTCTTTTTGGTGCATCAATAACTGCTAACTAAACACTGCCTTTGTTTTAGAAGACAATAAAACAGTTGGTGCCTTTTTGCCTTTCTGAGTCTGCTAGCACATGATTGTTCACCTATAAAGGCATACACTTTTCTTTGCTAAACAATTGCTTAATAACAGCTGGTAATTCACAAATTATGAGATAGGTTGTGATTCTGCGGTCTTTCTTGTAAATATGGTGGTTAGGATTTCATCTGCATCTCACTGAAGGTCAATAGGAATTTTATGAGGGTTCGCTTGTCTAACTTCAAGTATGCAAAACAAATGAGAATTTGGATTGGAATTATTGAACCCCTCTCCTGGACCGCCCAAATATAAGGCATTTACTATCATGGTTCTACTTTTACAGATCACAATAATGTCTAAAATGTCATACTCCAAGTAGTTTTTGTTTGATGCTTTGTTTGTTTGTTTGTTTGTTTTCCCTCATTTTTGAGCTACTCAGTAGAATTATGATGGGACAACCAGAGATTTTACTACTTTTAGTTGCTTTTAGGTGCCACTTAATTTTCTTATCTGAGGAGCTGGGTATGTAGCGAGGGAAACAGCCATGGTGTCACAGCAGAAAATGTCATATTACCTTCATCATGAATTTATTTTTGACAATTTTGAAATGAAGAGCTCTTTAAGATAAATTGACAGTTGGGAGAGGTTTCAAATAAAATGTAGAACTGGTTTTTTTAGGTCTCAGTTTGGTTTTTGTTTCTTATTTTTCTCTGTTCACTTTACAGTTCCACTTCTAAACTTATGAATGCATCCAAAGGACATTCATAGAGTATTTAACTCACTACAATTCTGTCCCAGAAGGTAAGACAAGTTTTACACAGAAAGCTGTTCCTTTCCAGTACCACTTCTTTGTGTGTGGTGTATCTCACTTGGTGGCACCTGAGCCTTCTTGCCTACTTATCTTGGGAATTGGGCCATACAATATTTAGACTGTGGAGTCCTCCTTTGAGGTTGTAAATTGGGTATTACAAAACCTAGCACTGAAGCATTTTCATACGGAGGAGTGAAAGAGTGATTTCTTTGGTTGATTTTGGAAAAAAAACGCAAGGAAACCAACTCTTAACTCAGATAGCCATTGCTTTAAAGCAGATGAACTAAATCTTATGGAATTCTCAGCTCTTGGCAACTATGTTAAGCTCTGAGATTACATATAGAGAGTCTTTTGTCAACATATTTAACCCGTCAATCACGAGCTGTATACAGGGGATTACAACTTTGAAATAAAACCATTCCTACCCCCTGGCCTTCTTCTGTGCAAAGAAACATTATTTTGCCTTTTTAAGAAAACAAACAAAATCAACGTAAACAGTAGAAGGGAAAGTCATTATGGAATTTTGTCCACTTACGTGAGATAGATTCTGATCGCGGTGCTTCTGCTGGCAGGAAAGAGGGAATACAGAGCAGAGAGAAAGCATAACAGAAGGAAAAATATCTACTTCTTCCTACCTGCAGAAAAAAATAGATAAAAATTAATAAATTTCAATATTCTTCAAAAGAATCAGTGGCTGGTAGTTAGACTACAGTAATCTCCCTCAATTAAAGCTCCTAAAGATTAGTTTTGTGTATGGCCACTTCTTCAATGCTCTCCACTTTGTCAATGCTCTGTTACTTCCTTTCTCTTGGAAAATTCAGATCCCATAAAAGCCCCCTTGTGAAGTAGTGTCATAGTTTGAAATTGGCCTCCCTTGAGAGTTCGAGGGGTTCAGAGGTGATTGGGTGCCAGGGCAGTGTTCCCTGGAGAGCCAATCACCACTCATGTCGTTCACTTCTGCTCAAAATCATATATCACAGCACCGGAAGCGGTTGGCATTACAGTCTTGGTTGTTTTGCTGTTGGTGTCTGCTGCGTGTAGGTGGACAAGGCCAGGGGGTGGCTGGGCTCCCTCTCTTCCCCTTCGGGGGCGAGAGGGGAGCCCTGCAACCCCCCAACTCAGCCTTTGGCTAGAATTAGAGTCAGCATTTGGAGTGTGTGCTGTGAAGGAAGAGATTCACAGCACCTGAGGTAAGAGGGAGGAGGCTAGGCCTTCTTTCCCCCCCCCCTGCAGCTGTGGGACGCTTGGAACAGTGCATAACTGAACCGAGCTGCCTGTGGCCAAGGCTAGGGGGCTTTTTTTCCCCCCACTGCATTTAGGCTGGTGGGGGGTGGATTTTGAGGCTCAGCACTTGAGCAGAGCCAAGTGGACGGGCTGATAAAATCAGCTCGGTGCTTGGGAGAAGAATCCCAGGCAAAATTGGAGACGGGCCAAGAGAGGCTTGGGAGTTGCCTGTTGAAGCTGATTGGAGGCAACCAAAAACTGACTTAGAGGAATGAAGATTCTAGGACGCGTATGCTTGATAAGCTACACTGCAGCAACTCACGAACCGAGGTGGGACACCGAGAGGGAGAGATCACCAGCAGCAGGAGAGCAAGGACTCAAAGCTGTTTTCTCCTGCTTCATGAGGAGGAGAGACTACAACAAACAACTGCTGGAACTTGGTGAGGAGGGAGTGTTCAGGAGCCCAGAACACTCCCACGGCAGACTGTGTTACATATCAGCCTTAAAGGCTGCTCCTGGACTAAAGTTAAAGGAGGGGCTTGAAAGGCCTGACTGATAGTAATGTAAGATATATATCTATATAGATATATATAGATATATATAGATATATATAGATATATATAGTTGCCTTTAGTTTGTATAGTATTTATTTGTGTAAATAAATGCATATACTTCCCCCTTCCCCTACAGAAGCCTCTGGCCTGAAAGTTTCTCTCCGGTGTTAGGATAAATTGTTGGGAAGATGTGGGGAAAGCTTGGAAGTTGGATTTTAGATTTTTAAATGTGGCTCAAACTACCACAAGTAGCTATAAAGTAGTTAGTATTCTGTGTCATGATGCTAATTTAATTGTTATTCTTATCCTTTTTGGAGCTATTCTGACCTTCTTGGATTTTGCATAACACAGAAAGTCTGTTGCAATGCCTTTGGAGAAATGAGCTGCAGTGAGACTCCTGAGCCCTAAACACACCTAAGATGAAGATAGAGAGAAAATCCTCTCTCATACCTCGGAGTACACCATATTTCCTAGGGAAAACATCAAAGTCCCCAGAAAAGAATAGTTTTACCATCGACAGTATAACTGTATGTGGGAGAAAGAGATTCCTTGGCACTCAGCTGTGTTGGCTGAACTATAAATCTCAGGATCTGTTAGATAACAATATATGCTTAAAAAGTCACCTGTACTAAGGTCTCTTTTCAAGATAAGTTTCAGCTTAATCACGTCATGTTTGGATATTAGGAAGGAATTCTTCACTGTGAGGGTGGTGAGGCATTGGCACAGGCTGTTCAAAGAAGCTGTGGCTGCCCCATTCCTGGAAGTGTTCAAGGTCAAGTTAAGTGCTAGTAGAAGGTGACCCTGCCCATGGCAGAGGATTGGAACAGGATGAGCTTTAAGGTCCCTCCCAATCCAAATTATTTTATGATTATGTGATTCTGTGTCTTTTATGATTGGGAAGGGCTGCTCTGGAAAGCAGAACTAGCAGCCTGTGTGTGAACAGGGCTTACCTAGCTCCCTTCTTGGTAGGTTCATACCCTTAGGAGACAGGCAAGCTGTTTCTCAAGCTTGGGAGCAGCAAGCCAGGAGTAGGATTCCAATTAAATGGTGTATTCAGAGACGCTAAATTATAGGTCAGTAACTACCCTTGCACAGTCATTTTCTTTGGAAGGGTAAACATTAAATTACCTATTCTCTGATGAAAATCGCATCAACAGCAAGGCTTTACTTTTCACCACAATCTGTTCAACAGGTGAAGAAGGTGAATTTTTAGTTTCTCCAGTCAGATTTGTTTGTCTGAACCCAAATATGATTGGAAAGCCACACTTTTGGTGGTTTAGTTTTCTTCTGCAACTTCACTGAGCATATCCAGTCTTTCTGAAAGCTGGTTTTAAAATTAATAGGCACTGCAAAATGTCATCATCATAAACACCATCATGGCTAGGCTTCACGAAGGAAGATTTGGGAAGGGCTCTAGCCACGTTTGTTACAAGCGCACTGGTGGCTAAAAAGGCCAATACGAGATAGACAGGTCCAGCTGCAAAAGGCACAGCAGAAAAACTCCTTAGGTGGTAAATTCTGCAAGACACGGTTCTTTCTGTATTGTCTTTTCTTCTCAAGAGTGATCCTGCGTGCATTCTCAAAAGCAGCAGCGCTGTTAAAGATAGTGTGTCTCCAGACCTCCCGATTGGAGGCCAGAGTAGACCAGTTATGGTGATCGATATGGCCGAGGTTGAGATGTTGTTTCAGGGAGTCCTTGTATCTTCTCTTCGGGGCTCCTCTCTTGCGGCAGCCGGTGGCAAGTTCACCATAAAGCAAGATCTTAGGGATGTGGTGGTCTTTCATCCTTGAGATGTGTCCTGCCCAACGCAGCTGTGTTCTCAGCACCATGGCCTCTATAGTTGTAAATGCTGCTTGCTCTAGAACAGATGTATTGGTCACATAATCTGACCAGTGGATGTTGAGGATTGTACGGAGACAGCGTTGATAGAAACGTTCCAGGAGTTGCAGGTGGTGGCAGTAGATAACCCATGATTCAGATCCATATAAGAGAGTGGACAGCATAATGGCTCTGTAAACACTGATCTTGGTACTTTTCTTCAGGTGTTTATTTTGCCAAAATCTTTTATGAAGCTTTCCAAAAGTACTATATGCCTTTGCTAACCTGTTGTCTATCTTACCACTTGAGGAGATGAAGCTACCTAGGTAATTAATCTGCTGGACTGATTTGAGCTCTGATTGGCCAATGGTGATGTGGGGATGATGGAGGACTTCCTGAAGTGCAGGTTGATGGACAACTTCTGTCTTCTTTAAGCTGATTTCCAGCCCAAAGAGCTCAGCAGCGTCTGCGAAGCAGGATGTTAAACACTGCAGAGCTGCTTCTGTCTGGGCGACAAGAGCGGCGTCATCAGCATAAAGCAGCTCCTGGAAAAGATGCTTCAAGGTCTTGGTGTGGGCATTCAGTTGCCTTAGATTGAATAGGCTTCCATCAGTATGGTATCGGATGTAGATACCGTCCTGATCATCGAGGTCTGCTGTGGTCCTTTGAAGCATCATGCTGAAAAAGACTGTGAATAGGGTAGGAGCGAGAACACAGCCTTGTTTCACACCATTGGTTATTAGAAAGGGCTCAGAAAGTGCATTGCCATATCTGACTTGGCCGTGCTGATCCTCATGGAGTGAGATGATCATTTTAAGGAACTTGGGGGGACAACCTAAACATTCCAAAATCTGCCATACACCTTTTCTGCTCACAGTATTGAAAGCCTTGGTGAGGTCGACAAAGGTTACATAAACACCTTTGTTCTGTTCCCTACACTTCTCTTGCAGTTGTCTGAGAACAAATACCATGCCTGTGGTACTCCTGTTGGCTCTGAAACCGCACTGACTTTCAGGTAGGATTCCTTCTGCTATAGTGGGTATTAGTCTGTTCAAGAGTATTCTTGCTAGGATTTTGCCAGCAATGGAGAACAGAGTAATACCACAGCAGTTTGAGCAATCTGATTTAATTCCTTTCTTCTTATACAAAGTGATGATGACTGCATCACGAAGGTCTGATGGTAGTTCACCGAGCTCCCAACAGCGCACCACAAACTTGTGAAATTTGGTATGGAGTGCAAGACTCCCATGTTTCCAGACTTCGGGTGGAATTCCATCAACCCCAGCTGCCTTGCCGATTTTCACCTGCTGTATGGCCTTTAGGGTTTCTCCTAAAGTCGCGACAGTATCCAATTCATACTTTACTGGTTGTTGTGTAATGTACTGAATTGCTGAGTCTTGGACTACATGGTTGGTACTGAAAAGAGTCTGAAAGTGTTCAGACCATCTATTCAGAATAGAGGTTTCATCTGTCAGAAGCATTTGCCCATCAGCACTGAGTAGAGGGCTTTGGACCTGGTATGTAGGCCCGTATGCTGTTTTCAGGGCCTCATAGAATCCTCTGTGAGCGCCCGTATCGGTGCATAATTGAGTTTTTTCAGCTAGATCGATCCACCACCTGTTCTGGATGTCACGGAGTTTCTGTTGGAGCTTGCTGCATGCAAGACGAAAGGCTGTTTTTCTTGCGTGACAGGATGGCAGTGCAAGGTGTGCTTGGTGGGCGGTTCTCTTCTTCCTCAACAAATCCTGGATCTCTTGATCGTTTTCATCAAACCAATCGTTGTTCTTCTTGAGGGAGAACCCTAAGGATTCTTCAGAGGATTGCAGGATGCTGCTTTTAATATGGTGCCAAATCGTTTCAGGAGAGGAATCTGCAGAATCTGTGGAATGGTTTTCGAGCCTAGTTTGAATGTTTGCCTGGAACTGCAAACTGTACCCCATCACATATTTCCATGGTTTGGTGAGAAAGAGGTGTTGCTGTCTCTCAACAAATGTCTGAAAAATATTCTGAAATAAATTTTGTGGAAAAAAGTCTAGGGGATTCACAAAGCCAAGACACATCATTAAATGTGGTTTAGCAGTTGTAAAACAAAAACACCCCAACAACTTGCTTGCCTTCACATCTACATCCACCTTGAAGGAGAAACTTACAGATAAATTGAATTAATCAGTCAAGAACCTAGTAAATGAACAGAGGTGAGGTCCCACTTAATTCTGCCTCACACAGACAAAGTGTGTTCAGTTAGTCAAGCACACTGCTGAAGCAGACACAGTTTACTAAATTTTGCACAGCTTAGTTCTGATTCTTGGATCTATGAAAATAACTGACATTTCTGTTGGTTTTACAACCACCATGAAGCTGTTTCTCAAAACACTGTGCTGGATTTACTCTGCAAACTCTAACTCCTTCCATTTATTGAGCTACAGAGTACCCTCTCTGCCCCAGCCTCTTTCATTCCCAGCTGGAGTTTTTCGGGCAGCTCCCAACACAGATAGAAAATGACTTCTGTAACTGTTTACAGGAAAACTACTCTTGTGAGAATATTTTGTATTTAGTCTGAAAAGCTCCAATGAATTTGCTTGGATGGCACAGCTATGGCAACAGAAACTTTGCAAGTTTGTGCTTACTTTAGGAGTTGTGAGGGTTTTGCAGGGGTATTTTTTCTATTGTTTGATTTTTCAGGGGGTTTTTTGTTTGTTTTGTTTGGTTGGGGTTTGGTTTTTTTTTTTTAATAATTAAATGTGCTCCAATGTTCATGTTGTGGTTGTGCTAGAGGAATGCAGAGATTCCATCTAACCGTTCTGAAAAGACTGCACCATCTTGAAGATTGGTCACAACTCCTGTGGCTCCAACTTCACATGTAATTTTCCTGCTATTCCTTAAGCTGTCCGTTTCATGCACAGCTCAACAGTCTCACTCCATCCAATTTTGGGGTAGAGAGTGATCTAATTCAAGTACCAAAGGCAGTTCACAGTTAATGCTGAAAATCATCTCTGTTGTGATCTTTTTTCCTCTATCAGCTTCTATTAATCCCAAATGT